CAAGTGCCACATCCACACAGCTTTTAAATCCCTCCAGGGACGGGGACTCCACCTCTGCCCCGGGCAGCTGTGCCAGGGCCTGACCACCCTTTCTGTGAAGAAATTTTCCCAATATCCAATTTACATCTCCCCTGGCACAGCTTGAGGCCGTTTTCTCTCATCCTGTCCCTTGTTCCCTGGGAGCAGAGCCCGATATCCCCCGGTTCCCCCCTCCTGTCAGGGAGTTGCAGAGCCAGAAGGTCCCCCCTGAGCCTCCTTTTCTCCAGGCTGAGCCCCCCCAGCTCTCTCAGCTGCTCCTCATCAGACTTGTGCTCCAGACTCTTCCTCAGAAAGGCCTCTTCCAGCCTGACCAATTCCATGATTACAGCAGACAGCCACCCTCAAGACTTGCTTTCATTGCCTGCAGCTTTTGTTACAACTTTGATGTTTTGACATTGTTCTGGACTTCTTCTAAGTTACACCTCTGTGCACTTTTTGGTGACCCAGCCTAGCCAACCACATGTTGTCTTGAAAAGTGTCAACTCTGTCTATTCCAATTTATTGATGATTTTGGCAACTTCAAGAAGGAAAGGAAGGACAGAAGGTAGTAGGGGAAGGAGGTTTTTTTCCAGATATTCAGACACATTCATATGAGAATCAGCCTTTCCCACAAAGGACTAGTATGTAACACATAATCTGCAGTGAGGACAAAGCCACAGGTTAAGCACTGCACACAGCTCTGTTTTGCTTAAGGGTTCAGCCTTGCACAGCTCTACAGGGAACAGGAACCAGTTTGAGTGGCAGCTTCCAACCTGATGGTTTCTGTGCTCGGAGCTGTTTCATCTCCCACTGACCACATCTGCCCTATAGCTCTGAGGGAGCTTGGTAGAGGACAGTTATCCCTAAGGTTCACTATTTCACTGTAAATTCCACTATTTACAGGATGCCAGTTTGTTTGTGCTCTTGGCAGAATGTGAATGTACAGAGGAAAAGACTGACTGGCTTTTTGAGATAATTCTGCATTGCAGTGATAGTTCTGGTCTGCAGAACGTTGCCCTAAGCTGCAGCTTTTGCAATCTGTCTCTTTTTAAGAACATTTGCTCTCTAAGGCTTTGAGGACAGATCCTTGTGAATGCTGACATGGGGAAGCAAGATGGATAGTGAACAGCATCAGGCAACGCCGTAACTTGAGGCACTTGCGAGAGATGCAAATGCTTGTAACCCAGAGGAATGTAAAGCCTCAGAATATGCTCTGAAGAGTCACTCTAGCTGGCAACCAAAAACAGTCTAGGAACAGCAGCATAAAGCACTTTGGGGATTAATTTATCCAGTAAAATATGAAGGAGCTGCAATGTAGAGGAGAGCTCAAACAGGTTAACAGTGGCTATTTGCATGCCTCCTCTAGAGCTAATACAGGTGTTTAGGGGAGAGAAGCACCACAGCCCAACATTCTTTCTATGCCCTCCACCTGTTTTTCCCCTCACTGTTCTTGTGCCCAGTTCAGCCAGCATAAGCAATAAGCAGGCACTGGTCTTGCTGCAGCAACCACGAGTCTGAGCTCACAGAGTGTTATTTTTCATTTTCAGGAGGATAAAGGGCTCAGTGCAGGAATCCTGTCATTTCAGAGCATGTGGTTTACATTAACATTTCCAAAAGGTATTTGTATACAAAAATAGTACCATCTGCTGAAAGGAATAGTCCGCATTTTCACAAGGTTAATTTCATTTAAAACCAAGTGATTGAATTGGTAGCATAAACCAATAGTTAGTGTCCCAACACACAATCAGGTAGCAAGCCACATCGTTACAAGGAAAGACTGTTTAGTGCTGGTACTTGGCACAGGTTTTATCAAAGTTCTTACTGATATAACTTTTCTATTCATTAATGAATAAAAGCTGTTTTAAATTACAGCCTGTTGTTACACTTGGGATCAGCCAGTGGGCTTCTTGTTAATCTGAGGAGAGTGTTAAGACTATAATGAATAATTTGATACATTTTCTTTCTTTCTTCTTACCTTTTTCAGATCTTTGTCTCAAATCCTGCAGGTTTTCACGAAGTTCCTGTAGTTTCAAACCCTTTTAAATTGTTTTTTACTCTCTTGGCAGTTCACCAGGAGAATTCAATATTGAACTGCAGTCTGCTTTGGTTGGGCCCAAAAATCTGTTATGTCTTACTTTCTTCATCAGATTAGATCAGAGGATTGCAAACAAGAAATCCGTATTTTAGAGCTGACATTTGGTTGCTCATCCCTGCTAGTAAGCTAAATGAACAGAAGAGTTATGAATTGTGAACAGGGAAGAGGAAGCAAATTTAGTTCTTGATATGGAGTTGCTTTTTTGTCCTCCAAAAAGGAAAGCTTTCGTATAATGTCAGTGTATTCCCTGGGGAGATTGCAGATCCTACACCAAGATAAGTATAGTGTATACTGGCACAGTTTTGAAACAGAAGAAATTTTCAGATCCAGGGTGTACCAGCACGATGAGGTTCTGATTCCTGTCTTTTAGGACAGGGCTTCAGCAGGGCCTGCTGGGCAGCTGCAGCTGCTTAGCACTGAACTGCCTGGAGGCATGGCCTGAGAACGTGGCACTTTGGAAGCCTGTGAATCCAGAAGCCATCTGGTTTTGGTCTTTCCAGTATGTCATAGGGGTTTTATTTTCAGTCACCCTGGAGAGTCCCTCCCTTTACCCAAGCCTCTAGCAGAAGAGGGATTTGAATGGAAATGGCCTGTGTCTGTTTCAATGTGGATTTTTTAGTTCCACTAAATTATAGAACATGTACAGCTTTATTAATTTGGGACTCTATTATGTTTTTATTGTGTTGAGACCTTTGGAAAACAAATCCTCAGACTTCAGAGAACATGGAATTAAAGCTCTGCAGGTAGAGTCAGACTATGTGGATGCCTCTCAACACTAAGACCAAATCTTCCCATCAGTCCAGAACTTTAAATTTATCCAGTTTGAGATATATGCCCACCTTCAATGCCTTGTTTTAAATACAGAGATTATTTCCCTCCCCCTTTCCCAAGGAGACAGTAAGTTTTGGCTTTATACTATTGGTTCAGATCTTCCCAGAGATGTCCTGCCTTCTTCTTTTGCTGCAGCCCACAAACATGACTGGGTCTACCTTTGCCATGTGCTGTGGCACAGGAGAGCAGCCAGGCAGTGTCCTTTCCCCTCTACTGCTATAATAAGAGCAATGCCCCCCTCCAGCATCACTGCACACCTTTTAACTGGTGTTTGTCATAAGCAGAGAAAGCCTCTTTAGTGCAGATGTAGATTCATGTCAGTTGTCATGAAATGTAATGACAAATACAAGATCAGACCAGGCCTTCAAGACTGCTTGTGCTTTCAGACATTTACTTTAGAACAGCATTTAACACAAAACCATTCTGACTTGCAGTGCACACACGATGTTTGTGTTTGGTGTGTCCAGCCACGCTGCAGCTGGAATAGACTGAGACTTCTAAGACTGCTCCATCAGCTTGGGAGAAAAACAATTCCAAGTATGCCCTGTTGGACAGGGACAAAGGTATCTGCCCTGCCAACTCAAACAGGAAGCCAGCTTAGCTGAAAGAAAGGACAGGGTGAAATCCCGAGCACATTTAAGCTAATGGGAGTCTGGCTACCAATTTAAATGGACACAGACCTTTACTTCTTAATTCATGCTCACACCAAGTCTTTATTCATATTCCCTCGCTTAATGCCATTTCCAGCTTCCATGACTTTTATTAGGAATAAATGTGCAAAGCTAAGAGCTATCCCAGATGAGGTACCCTTGGTACTGTGACCCTTAGAAACATCAGGATAGTGAAGGG